TTCTGAGCAGAGCGACGAAACAATGGCAGGAAGGACCGAATCTGCGCTGTACTGAATGCTGGGTCCATGATTTTCCTGATCCGTGCATGTTCGTGGTCTGCAAGTTATGTACCGATAAGCAGTGGCGATGCATCTGGGAAAAACACCTGCCATTTGCAAACAGTATGCCATCGCCTGTAAGTTGTCTTGCAATTTGTCTGGCATCAATCCTCCTTGAATACTTATGGCCTGATTTGTGAAAGATATGATGCAGGGCCTGACAACACAACTGTTACTTAGAATATAAGAGCAGTGGACGACGCTGCGTACCTTGGGATCCACGAGCCACAGATTATCTTTCTGCATGGAAAGATGAGTGTCACAATGAACATTAACTAATCCGCTCACTCCTAAGCATTCCATGAGACGCCATGCGGAACCATACTGACGAATCCACTGAGATTCCAAATCGCCCACGTCGTCTTGATGAGATAGCAGAAGATTGTGGCCTATACGTTCACGAAGTTAAATCCGCTTCAACCACGAGTCTTGGCAAGGCTGACCAAACAGTAAACTTGGGGAAGGCGGCCCCCTGATGCGATTCAGCGAATGTCGACTCATCCGCCGATAGATGGCAACCCCAATGGTAGAGACAAGAACAAGAAGCACTGCAGCGTATGCAGACATTTGCATGAAATGAAGTGGATAAAAGGACGATGGTCAGATCTGTGTCGAGCATGTGTGGGTTTATATCCTAAGCAAATTTGTCTGATATGATACTCCGACGCTCCTGCACAAGTGACCAAAGTTACATGACAGCATCCATATGACGGAAAACGAGCGTAAGCATGCGTACATACGATACGGATAGACGGCATTCTTTTCCACGGTCGCTGCTCTTCTTGTATGGGACATTTCGGGAAAACCCCGCGTCTTTGACATCCAGAAACACATGAGAACGTGGCGTGACCGGCACAGAGGTCAGCGCTATGGATATTGTGAGAAGATCAGAGGACGCGTGAACCCTCCTTCGACGAAAGGCTCCCAATCCCGTGGTTCACGCGTTGGAATGGGATGTCTTGTGATGCAAGGACTGACACACTGGCCGCCCCTCCAGTGGTCGAGGGAACGAGCACATCTAGCCATTGCTTCTCCTCGAAGACGAGGCACCGTATTGGCGGGAGTCAAATAGTTACCAATCGGTCCTGGAGGGTTCCAACTCCACAAGGCGCCGAACCATGTGTGTCTCGTGAGAAATTTCGTATGAAGGCTACCAGGCACTGTATGTGTTCCTGGGGCCTGCAAGTCCATCTAGACACGACTGCAGGAGCTGTCCACGATTCTGTCGGCGAGAGCATCACCCGCAATGTGAAATGCAGAGAAGCGCTCGAGACCGCGGAGGGATGCATTGACTAACGCCTCTGGCATGTGATGAAGAAGACTTCATGTCCTGCAATCCGTGGACCTCGAGATATTGTAATCTGTGGAGAGATGGCTTGAAAGAGAAGAACATGTATAGCGTTAATTGGGGTAGCTTTAGTGTTTTCTCCTTCTTTTCAGCTACTCTCACTACAGATAATAATGGCATGGAGGATGTGGCAGCTTCTTGCAGCCGCATGGTTGTAAAGCATGCCATTTCGAACAAGATGTTTCAGCGTTCTCACCTATAGTTTAAACTCACCTTCGCGAGACCCGATAAATTTAGGTAGGGTGGCGTTTACATCGTTTACCAATTTGCGTGAGCTATACACAACATCCTTGAAGTAAGCTGATGCGTTGCTTGGGCACATGACAGAGGGAACGGAAATGTACGCACACTTTTGTCCGGAAGATGCAGAGGATCGGTTGCAAGGGATATAATGCGATGATCGGCGAGGATGACGTGACACGCAGCACTCGGTAATATGGTATACCATTAACGCCATCTGGTACAGGTCCGGGAGTGCTGAAGCTTGGGGATAGTCGAGCGAATTTAGACTCATAAACAACGCAGGCTGAAGATTGAACCTCCGAACGACCTCGCCAGCGGTGCTACCACTCATTCGGAGTCATGACATCCCCCCTTGAAATGTCGCCTGATTGTGTGGTGCGACCTAATATTTGACATGAATCGCGAACTTGCGTGGAGGTGTTGGATACGGTACGCTTTCCCGCGTGACTTATTGGTCATTTCATCGAGCAAATTTGACAGTATGCGAACATAGCTACTAGAGACAGCGCACAATCAGCCCATACTAGCTCATACGTTGAAGCGATTCGGCTAGTGCGCCCACCTATTTCAAATGTGCTCGCAAAAGGATGTGGCGTACATCATATGACAAAGTTCTAGGTGAACTTTGACAGGGTTGATAATTGAATTTTGGAGTAGCAACGCGTGGGCGCTGGCTCGATACTGCTTAGCATCGTCTCTTTCAGATCAGAGTATGAGGGTCGCGATTCACTTTGCGCCGATGATAAAGCAGAATTGTATGCATAGGCTTCTAGCGTGACAACGTACAGGGATGCTGGGTCCATAGAGAGAAGGCAGTTGCTCGAGTTCCGTCAGATAGCAAAGCCGCGAGTAGCTCTCAAGGGTTAGAAGCTGTTGATAGAGAACTGCAATGTAACAATCGCCAATGGGGTTGGAAGCGGGAAATCGTACGAAGTAAGGCTTGAAGAAAGCATTGTGCGACTGGGCAGATTGCAATCTCTCTGTACTCTTCGGAAGAGTCAGGAATATTATAGCATGTAGACTGTGCGCTATTCATCTAGCATCGAAGACAGTGAATTATGGGAGCTCAGTTATCCTGACAGACATCAGTAACTCGAGAGTTGCTGAAAGAGAAATGAACTGATGCATGTCATACTCCTCGAGCGACGAGTTGAGTCAAAGCGGCTAAACGCTTGCGAAATATCTTATATCGTAGCGTAAGGAATAGCCACGTAAGTGAGATCTCCATTAAAAATGCAGGCAGACTGACATGCTCGGAGTCCTGAAGACCGTGCCTCCACAGGTTCTTCCCCATCTGCTTCTGGGAGTTTGAAGGGGGGGAACCTCAATATTACAGGTGGGACTCCTTAGCCGCCACCTCAGCCACAATAACCAAACAAGAAAATGCACATATCGGCGGGATTTATAGTGACGTAGAAGCTCGGAATTGCCCAAGGTGCATCATAAGGCTCTCATTACGCATGACTATCCTAGATGCTGAAGTTATCCAGAGACACGGTGATTGATGACATTAACCTCATGCATAAGTGCAGCAACAGTATGTCCTCTGAAGGCTCACAAAGAACTTGAGCAACAACACGAGGTCGACAGCAGCAAAACCAATCTTGGCCTAGAGTTATGTCGAACGGGCGTAGATAATTAACCGAGATGTCGAAGGTGGAATGAAACCCGCCTCCCCGAAGTAGTGACTACGACATGACCAGACCTGGAGATGTGAGCCACAGATGAACAGACAGAGACAGTCCTCGGAATGTTGTGCAGATTGGCGAAGTCAGAAGATATGCATAAGTATTCATGACAACCATCTACCAAAATGGAGGCAGGAATGCCAACGTAGGAACCACACACAGCGATACGAGACATGACAGGATAGTCGGGAGGGTTAACGGAGACACGGAGGTTAACGGAGACACGGAGGGGAACGAATTAGCGTGACCTCGATCGATCAGTTTAGGGCAAGCTGATCCTCAACGACGCGCATGTTTCGCAGGAAAGCCGGTTACGCGTAGCGGGAATAGACCACGTTATATCATCTTTGATATTGTGTACAGCCAGTATTGTTTGTAGTGACGTACAAGACAGGAAAATTACTCGTCAGCAAACGCAACGCAACCTGGAGCGCACTTGAGGAGCTTTGCATCTCTTA